GATCGACCATCCGTTACAGACGATTAACAATACTTAACCACTACTAATTAAAGCAATTGCTTCACCAATGAATTATTATCGGATTAAAGCAATTCATTCTACTTTAAGAATCGCAAGCTGTGTCCAAACGCCCGGATTGAGTGAGCCCATCCTATTGGACTGAAGCCCGCCCAAGTTGTCACCTAAATCAATTTGTATCACAAATTAAGCCCAATCCAACCCGTACATCTAGTCGTTCTAAAGAATAACCGGAACTTTTTTTTTTTTGGTAATTGGGTGTCCGAGCAAGTTTGCACGCATCTTAACTAATTATCGAAGCTCATTGAACATCATACAAAGTCAATGAGTCAGGTAAATCACAAATTTGGTAGGCCCCAAGGTGGTAAGCCACAAGTTTGCGCACGGATTGAGTCAGCCCATCCTATTGGACTGAAGCCCACCCAAGTTGTCATCTAAATCAATATTTATCACAAATTAAGCCCAACCCACCCCTACATCTAGTCGTTCTAAAGAATAATCGGAACTTTTTTTTTTTTTTTTGGGTAATTGGAGCGTCTGAGCTAGTTTGCGTGCACCTTAACTAATCATCGGAGCTCATTGAATAGCATACAAACCCAATTAGTAAGGTAAGTCATAAATTTGGTAGACCCCAAAGTGGTTTAAACCGAGAAAAATCAATGAAGAGAGTAAACCTTTGTGATCACTAGCTCAACCTCTTGGGATTGAATAAACCCAAACTACCTATTCAAATAAGTGTAAAATCATATAATAAGAATTTTTTTTTTTTTTGAAAAAACATAATAAATCTATCATATTAGAGAAGCCAAGCAGTGGACAATTATGAGAAAGTTTGGAGGAAGAGTGATGGTAAAAGTGTAAAAGATAAAATCTGTTTGTGTAATGAGATATGATGATAGCGGTTGCGACGCAAACAAGAATCAGATATTAATTTCCATGAAGAACATGGAATTAATCTTGTTGGGGAGCAAACCGTGTTTCATGAAGGGCACTGTAAATGGTGGGGAAAGGCCTTAGCGTTAGGGGCTGTATTCTCTGTACCAATGAAGTACTTTTTTCACCTTTCAAAAGGCCTTCCTATTCCTTTTTATTAATACCAATGGAGAAATGTACAAATCACATGTCAGCTATCCCTTCTATATTCAAAATATTAGAAATGTTAGTTACATATCATATCATATCCATGCTTTTTGTTAGCTATCTTTACCATGTCAGCCATATAGGCTCTTTCTGAATTGGGCTGGATTTCTTCAGTTGGGCTTCTTCTTAATTCAACCCTAGCAGACCCCTTTTGGGTCTAGACCATTCTATTCTTAGCCAATGATTACCCAAATGCCTTCTCCTTCATTAATTAAACAAATGTATTGCATCTTTCTTTGTACCCAGGTCATGTAGTTGCGAATTGCATAGAATGAGAAACTAAAATTAGCCCAGATAAGGCGATGAGATTCCTTCTGTTTCACTGACCAACGAGGAATTCTTGCTCTATAAAAGCCAGTTACCAGATTTAGCTTTTGGTAGGCAGGCTAATGCAGTGTCCCCATTACCATTTACGGATGAATAAGGATTGAACGCTTTCAAGGCTACACAATACTAAGGTAATAATCCAGAAGTGAGGTCTTCATTAGCTATTTAATAACAGAAATTTGAGCGATGTATAGAAAGAGATTTTTGATGAATCTGATGATGCCACCGTTTGTACTTGAAGCCGTTAATCGATTCGGTAGATACTCCCAAACTTTCTTAAGCATTCCTACTAGAAGTAGTACTTATGAATTAATGATACGCGTGAAATGTCACCTGCATTTCTTTTAGAGTAAACGCTGCTCCCATTCAAAGATTAGCTAAAACTGTACACCCTGGTTTCATTTATTCCAAATTCCCACCCTCAAAATAACGCGTTAGTGAGAGTTAAGTATTGACACGGTTGCTGATGGTGTTATTACTAAATTATCCTTTCATCATCTTCTTCTTCATACCAGCCACTGTCACTGCCACCACCACCTAGTTGCACGATCTTTGCCCTTTTCCCACGATCACCAATCATCTCACCGACCTCCCACCTCCAAAAGCCCTATCCTCCCTGACACCAATTGCCCGCTGGTCATCGCCCCCACCATTTAGGATTTCGCCATTTGGAAGACTTGGGGTTTGCGATTTTCGAGTTTTTGATGGCTGTTTGGATTGGATTTTGATTGTGGAAGTAATTTTGTTGTGTGTGCATCTGTGTGATTGATTACCTGTTGCCGGTGCTCCCCATCTACAACTTTTCTGCAACTTCGAAAGTTGGCACGCCAACTGTTCGGAGGAAGTCTAACAAAAAACTAAACTCACGTTCACATCCTTCAACACAAAAGCAAATCTGGACTTCAGATTCTTCAAAACAACATGAAGACCATTAAAAAACTACAAGCTTACAAATCATGATTAATGAATTAAAATCAAACAAAACACTTGTCTAACGAAAAAAACACCAAACACCCATTTGAAAAAACCCCAGAACAAACCTGAAGATAACCAAAACAATTGTCTAAAAGTCAATGGGAGAAGAAGTGACTGACTTGCGGCGGCAGAGGGAGGCGTCGGGCGGCAATTGGTGATAGGGAGCTAAGTCTTGTCGAATTTGGTGGTCAAAACCGGTGAGGAGCCTGTTGAACGGCGCAATGGGTTGGAAATCATAGGGGTTTTGGAATTACCATTTTAACCGTTAACCGTTAGATAACACGATTTTCTGTTACTTTAAGGGTTGGATATCGAAATAAATGAAACCAGGGTGGAAACATGTTATTTCGCCAATCTTTGGGTGGGAACATGTCGTTTGCTCTTTCTTTTACTTGTAGTGATTTCTAACCAACGCCCACGACGGCATGGCCGACTCAATATCTGACTTCTCATCAAGCTACTTTAATTGCCTACACGTACAAATCCTAGAGTTAGGACAGATGCCATTAATTTAAAAAATCAATGAAAAACTTTAGGGCTATGTACCCTTTACGAAATTCAAACACCTGCAACAACCTACCAACCATCTAGCCACTACAACATAGAGTAAACAACGTATTCCCATCGAGGTTTGGTGAAATCCCAAGCAGTTAGCCTCGGTTCCATTTATTCCAAATCTCTACCCTTAAATAAACGTTGTTAGTGACGGTTTAGTTATATGACAAGCTATTACGAAACTGTTATTCACCCATTCCAAACCACAGTCCATTCTAAGCCACCCATCCTAAACCGCCACCACAACATGCCAAACCACCCCCATTCCAAACCACCATCGCAATCGACCCACCTTACAATCAATCAACAAATCAAATTCACTCTAAAACACAGGTGGTGGGCAACGGCAATGGCAAGAAAAATCAGCAGCAGCAAGGAAAACAACCAAAAAAAAACCCACAACCAATCAACAAATTAAATTCACTCAAAAACACAACAAAAACGCAGCAAATCAAACTTAAAACAAAGGCTCCAATTCAACCCAAACTTAGCTGTCGCGCAAAGAGATAGGGAAGTGATGGACGACGACCGGTGACCAAACAACCGTTAGGAATGGAAGGGGTTTTCGAGAAGGGAGGCCGGTGAAGTGAATGGCGGTGACGGGAGGGATTTCTGTTGTCGGAATCGATGGGAAAATGGAAAAATCACGCAAACCCTAGATTTGTGATGGTCGGCGATTAAGGGGTTCTCTTGGATGAGGGTGAGAGGGGGGGTTTTGGTGTGCTGGTTAAGGGGAAGTGATGGGGGTCTTCGACAACGTCGAAATCAGGCGGTTGGGTGCTGCACTCATGGGAAAGGCAAAATCGCATAGTGGAGAAGAAAAAAATGGAGAAATGTAAGAGGGAGATGGATAGTCACCGCTAGATCTGGGCTTCATTATCGGAAAGGACCAGAAAATGGTCGGCAACGACGTCGACAAAGATGAGAGAAAGCGGAAGATGAAAAGGTGAAGGTGGAGGTGGAGAGAAATTTGAGATTTAAGGTTTTTTAGGGCTATTTTGTCTTTTTAATATCAAAATAAGGTAAATACTATTTTAGCCTTCCATTGTTAAAATAAAGAAAACAGAATTAATTTAAAGGTGAAAATCTAGAATAAAAGTAACTGGGGATATCTGGTTAGGATTTCACCAAACCTCAGGTAAAAACATCTCGCTTACTCCTACAACATATATAAAGGCCCTGGGGACACTTGACACCTACACTAATTAATACTCTCATAAAAGATATCTCTACAACAAAATAATTTCCGGAAAGGTAGATGGGATATTAACGAGGAACCCTACAATTACAGATTTCTTGTAATAATCATTAATTATTTAATTGAATTTAGAACTAGAATTATGATTCTATGGTACAGATTGATTTATCTATCTACATATAATTAAGTTTCCCCTCAAAAACTGATAAACATTATTTTCTGGCTGGCTTATGCCCAATGTAAGTCACAAATGTTGTGGGATTAGTTTGTGCGTGTCTCAAGAAATTAAACCCACTACTAACCCAATGTAACCCACAAATTAAATACACTACAGTAACCCACAAATGTGGTAGATAAGATAACCACAATCCACCCAAATACCTAAAGCTTTGTCGTCCACAAGGCTACTGGCTATTGGTTACTGATACACATTATTAGCAAGTAAGATTATGAAAGATTTGGTTCACCCTCGCGGAGAAAGATGGAGAAACCTGAATTGGGTTAATCAGCTTATATTATAAAGATCAGATTATCAAAAGCAACAATCAAATCAAATGCATTACAAAAATAAGCTCTGTCTGACCAATGGAAAGCATACGGATTACATTAAATAAAGTAAAGAACCGCATTAATTAATCAGCAAAAACCAGTATTAGTTTAGAACAAGTTGTTTAAGCACGTACTAATACAGCATGAAACTTTCCAAACTACACTAATACCCAGAACTCGTCCAAGTATTACTCATCAAATCTTCAACATTTTAAAGCAAAACAAACATGTGCTTATGAGTACAAACTAAATATAAAACACACACACACAATCGAACATACATTCGATCTTAATTCTCATCTCCTGCAACGAGTGATGGAAGAGCAACCTCTAGTGTAAGGGTGCGCCGGACCTCGAGCCTTGTAACAGTTGTGAGTGTAGTAAGACCTTCCAGAGCGAGGCGGACATGGAATTCGATTAGCAGCTAGAGCTCCATACGAAATGTAGTACTTCATTGTATGCCAGAACAGTGATCTACGACCAAACTCACCTTCCTCATCATCCTCTAAACTATCTTCCTCTTCATTCTCATCCAAACTCTCTTCGTACACATGAGGCATTGATAACGGCCATTCAATCGTCTCTGTCATAAGCTTCAAGTTTGCCTCATCAACCTGAGCTTGAACCTTTGGACTCAAAGAAATGTATATCATTAAACCGAAAATAAGAAGCTTGACCGGTGATGGTGAGGAAGCCATGGAAATTCTTGCAGAGTAAAAACCCAATTAAAAATAGAAGGGGGCAGGTTTTTAAGTGGGCTATGTTTGGTTTCAGAAGCATTGCCGCATTGGTACAACGAGACAGATAATCACATGATGAAGCTGGAGGTGAAGTTGATAGTGATTGGGTTACAGCTGGACTTCAGCAATGACCATTAAAGTGTGCCTCGATTATTGATCACCTCCTTTTTTTTTTGATCGGGTGTGTTAGGATATTGGGGATAATTTTGTTCTGGAATCATGGTTCGTACGATCATTGGATAATTTGTTGATTGGATAGATGTATGATATTTGTGTGTGAATTGATTAGATGAGAGTAATTTAAGGAAATAAAAGGGGGATTTGGGCGACATTTGATGCTGTTATTATTGCCGGTGGTCAGTAAATAAGACACTGTGCATGGCATTAAAGACGCGGCCGGTCGGGTACTGGGCCGCTCAATAACACATGCTAGTTTTACGCTAAAATTACTTGTTTGTGTGGAGGTTAAATTAGACTACATCACTCAAGTAAGAGCGAGACAAATTTTCAATTAATTAAAAATAATATATATTTTTTATTTAAAATTTTAAATAAAAAACATCGTAATAAATAAAAATGTGAAGACTTCAAAAGTTTTCAAGGTAGACCCTTAATCTAAATTTTTGAAAGGGAAGCGATTTGCAACCCCCACCTAATTGATCGGTAGTCTCCATTATTAAATACACTTTCCCTTTAAATGATCAGATCAATTATTTTCATCAATAAATCATGTTTTAGTTTATAATCTTATCCCAAAGTTTATTATAACAATCCCTTCTTCACCTTTTTTTTTTTTTTTTTTTTTTTTTTTTTTTTTTTTTTTTTTTTTTTTTTTTTTTTTTTTTTTTTTTTTTTTTTTTTGGGATAATCGGAGTGTTCGGATCAATTTGTGTGCACTTCAACTAATCTTCAGGGTCTATTGAATATCCTACTATTAATTCCTTTTTTCACTTTTATATAGCCTACAAATGACTTTTTTAATTAAAATTTTATTTCTATAAATATCAATGCATTCAAACATTTTATTATCCTCTCGTAATGAATAATTAGATAAAACTTTTGTCATGAATCATTTGCAATATTTCAATGAATAAAAGAAAAATCCATAGTGAATAAATATATTTAATATAATCCAGGGGTAGAGCCAGAATTTTTTTTCTTGGGGCCGATATGTAATTTTTAATGAATTAGAGGGCCAGAATAAGAAAGCTACTTTATAGGGGGCGTTTGGATCATATAATATTTTATTATAGGGGTACGGAAATAAAGATTACCTTAAAGATTACTGAGAATGTTTAAAAAATGTGTTTGGTTGGTTCTAATAAATTGTTGAATAATATGTTTAGTTGGAAAGATAAATGGGCGGGTATGTTATATAGATGACTAAATTACCCTCTTTTTTAAATACTAATATAATAATATTTTTTATTATTATTTTTTGAATCATTTCTTTTAATTCTCTACATTTAAAATTTTCTATATAAAACTTTAATTTATAGCAAAATCACTCCCACCCACCCCAAGACACTGCCGGTGGTTGACGGAATGCCGCACGATTGGCCATATATGGCCAGCCTGTGCTGGCAAAGTCGGAAATGGCCATGAATCACAAATCCATGTCTGAAAAACGACCAGATTTATAGCCATTTCACGGCTAGATCTGTGGCTATTTCACGACCACATATTTGGCCTTGAAACGACCATAGAAACGCCAGATCTAATCGTTTCAGATCTATGACCAAAAAAGGCCTTACCGATGCACGACTGGCCAGATCTCGTTAGTCGTGCACTATTACAATGACTGACGCCGACGGTCGACGATGGTGAGTCACGGCCGGCGGTAGTGAGTCACGGCCGACGGTGGTCTTGGGTGGTTGGGGGTATTTTGCTAACTTTTAAACTTTTTTGTGGTTTGGGTGTTTTAGCTATTTTCTCAAATGTATGGGGGCTAGATAATTATTATTTGGTAGACATTTGAGGGCAGTTGTGTCCGAAATGCTTTTTAATTAAGGGGAAAATGGATAGAAAAATCTACCCCGGTAATGTTTTAATAACACCCCCTAACAAGGTAATAAGATTACCCCCTACATTATCAACAGTAAACACTATAGGGCAATTTGGATCAGGGGTAAATGAGATAATGGGGGTAATCTTCGTTTATTTTGCAAGATTCCTATGTTTGGTTTGCAAGTAATAAAATATTACGGTAATCTTTTATTGCGTAATCTTTTATTGTAAATAGTGTTTACTATTGGTAACGTAGGGGGTAATCTTATTACCTTGTTAGGGGGTGTTATTCATTACCAGGGTAATATGATTTTTCTACCCATTTTGCCCTTAATTAAAAACCATTTCGAACACCCTCAAATGTCTACCAAATAACAATTACCCAGCCCCCCTACATTTGAGAAATGAGCTAAAACACTATAGTCACAAAAAAGTTTAAAAGTTAACAAAATATCCCTAACCACCCAAGACCATCGCCGACCGTGACTCACAATCGTCAACCACCGGCATCAGTCATCGTAATGGTGCACGACTAGCGAGATCTGACTAGTTGTGCGTCAGTAAGGCTTTTTCCAGCCATGGATCATAGTTCCATGGCCGAAAACGGCCAGATCTGGCGTTTCTATGGTTGTTTCACGACGTAGATCTGGCCATGAAATGGCACGGTCAAAGATCTAGCCTTTTCATGGCCAGATCTATGGCTGTGATCTTTGGCCATGAAATGGTCATAAATCTAGTCGTTTTCTGGCTATGGATTTGTGATCCATGGCCATTTTCGGCTTTACCAGCGCATGGCCGGCCATATACAGCCAGTTGTGCACCATTCCATCGACTGCCCGCAGTGGTGGCTGGCTGTCGGTAGTGGCTTAGGGTGAGAGAGGATGATTTCGCTACAAATTAAAGTTTTATATGGCTAAGGTGTTTTAGCAAAATTTGAAATGTACAGGGTTAAAAAAAAAAATCAAAAATAATAATTAGAGATGGAACAAATGGGCCGGGTTAGGCAAGTCAACCCTAACCCGACACGGGCATACCCCGTCGGGCGGTCTGGGCCTTCATAGGCCAACCTGGTGAGTTTTTTTTTTTTTTTTTTTTTTTTTTTTTTTTTTTTTTAAACCCGTCCAACCTTTCCGGGTGTGCTTGCAGTGGGCACTTGGCAGGTTGGACAAAAAAAATTAAATATATATTTTTTTTTCGCAAAAACCCATTTTACCATTAAAATATCGTCATTTTATAGTAGTTGAAGGGGTCTTTTTGGTCATTTTCTTTTCCCATTCTTTTTTTTTTAATAAATAGGGCCTAAACTCTCATATTTCCTCACTTCCCAAATTCTCTCATTCTCTCTATTGAAATCTCTCAATCTCTTTGTTGTCAATTTGCTCTCATTTTAATTTTTATTAGTTTTTGCAATTTTCAATTCATATTTCCAAATTCCAATTCTCCTTCTTTAATTCTTTAATTCTTTTATATCCATTTTTTTTTTTAAAACTATAATGGATAGATATTTCCATCCCATCAATTTCGATGATGAAGAAAATTATTCTAGTCCCCCTGAATTTACTAACATAAATGCAGTAGATTCAAACAGTCCCGCTTTCTTATTCTCAGAATCCGATACACCTCACAATATTCCCCCACTTCCTCCCCATGCTGGTACAGCTCCTAGTGGTTCTAAAAGTTGTCCTCGTCTAACTCCATCTCAAGCAGAAGCCGGTTCATCAATTACAGTCAGAACCGACGACAGACATACATCAAACGTTTGGATGCATTTTGAAAAGTTTTACGACACAGCAAATGAAGTTCAAGTGAAGAAAGCAAAATGCAAGTATTGTGGAAATATTTATAAAGTTGATGCAAGTAATTATACTAGTACTTTAAAAAGATATGCTAGTAAACATATGAATCAACATGGAAATAGAGAAACCAATCAAACTCAAATAACTAATATGAGTATTACTTGGCGTTATAATTCTGATGTATATAGGGAGCAATTAGTTTTATATATTGTTGTTGATCAACCTATTAATATGGCTAAAGATAAATATTTTGAAAGATTTATTAAAAATTCATTTTTTTAAGGATTTAAAAGTTATTCTAAAACTGCAACTAGAAATGATTTAATAAAATTGTTTGGGAAAATGAAATTAGAATCAAGAAATAAAATACATTGCCATGTTAGTGTGGCTCTAACTGCCGATATTTGGAGTGGTAGAGTTAAAAAAAATTATATTTGTGTGACTAGTCATTACTTTGATAACAAATATAAATTAAATAAATCTTTATTGGGATTTAGATTAATGGATGTGGATCATCGTGGTCAACAAATTTATAATAAAATTGTTGAAGTTTTAGAAGATTATGATATTGTTCACAAAGTGATAAGTTTAACTTTAAATAATACAAGTGATAATAGTAGAGTTATATATTTTTTTAGAAGTAATTTTATTTTTTATGACAATTTGAAGTTTTTTCACCAATGTTATGCATGTCACATATTATTAATTTAATTGTGAAAAGTGGTATGAAAAAAATTAGAAATAATATTGATAAAATTAGGGATTCTTTAGCTTGTATTGCTACTAGTAATACAAGAAATGCTGAATTTCAAGATGCTTGTATAAAATTAAATATGTCTCTTAAAACTTTTATATTAGACATGCCTGTTAGAAAGAATAGCACTTATTTAATGCTTGATTCATGTTTACCTTATGCAAATTCAATTAGTTATTTTGTAGCAAATAATAAGGTTGGTAGACAGTGATTGACATATAGCTCAAAAATTTCATTCTTTTCTTAAAATTTTTTATCAATCCACTTTACAACTTTCTAGTGTGTATTATCATACTAATCCGTTGGTAATACATACAATTTTAAAAATTTCAGATTTATTTAAGAAAAATAGGAACAATGAAATTTTAACAGGACCAATAAAGGCAATGGAATTAAAATGGAAACTCATTCCTTTTCTTTTTTGTTTAGCTACCATATTTGATCTTAGAATTCAATTAGCGGGTTTAGAAAATGGTTTAAACACGTTAAGTGAAAATTTACGAGATGAAGGATATTTTAATCAACTAAGAGAGATAAGACAGCATTTTGCAAAGGTATATTTGCAATATGAAAG